AGAAGCAATGTTAAGCTGAACACTGAAGCTGTTTGTAATAAGCTGTCATGTATCACCAGAAGTGAACACTGGATGGAAGGCGTAGATGAAGGTAGATTAAAACAAGTTGGTGGCAGAATGGGAAGACACCAAAACGGTCTGGGAAAACGAGAGAAGTGAGAATAGGACTAGAACGGTGAGGTCAAAGCGACTGGGAAAGCCACAGGCATAAATCTTCTTGATTGCTGTATCTTCTGGGGGACAGCTCATTGCTGAAGAAAAGTCAGGCTTAAGTGAGACTGACAGGGAACAGAAAACAAATAGATGGTCAATAGTGCAGAGAGTATGAAAGAGGAGACTTTAAAAAATGAGTAGAGATAATTGAGAGCTGGGGAAAATGCGAAGAGAAGCAAAGAAGAGAAAAACGATGAGCAGCAAAAACGAAAGGAGAATGTAGAGTAGGGCAGAATGCAGTGTCTCCCCGGTTCAGAGAGACTTCAGAAGTACCTAAGAAAGGCAGAACCCATCACACAGCTTTACATGAGGGATGGTTTGTTTCCTTTATGCATTCAATCATTTCTTCTTGCCGTGTAAATCAACGGTACTGCTGCTAATAGTCATGATTTTATAGCATGTAATGTTTTTTTCTGTTCAAGTTGCTGGCATAATGCAACTTTGAAAAATTCGGTTCCCTTTTGGGTTTTTTAACTGTGAATTTTGGGATCTGTTTTTTGTAGGAAAAGGTCTGAAAATTGAACTCTAAGACGTAAAAAAAAGGAAAAGCAAATCAACATATACAAAATAAACTGTTACTAAAAAACATTTTTCAAGAGTAAGCCTTGATTATGGAACTGCAGCAGGGTATTTTAACCCCTTCAAGTTGTCAGCATTAAGTGCATCTGAAGGCGCAGCATGACCTAAGAGTGCTGTGAAGAAGCAGCAAGCATTAGCAAGTGCTCCCTGCATAAGAACTGAGAGTACATTTAGGAACAGGTATTGGCATTACATTTTAACTTTTGTTTGTCATGTTTGGTTACAGTAATAAGACATGATGAGTGTCCCCTTGGATATGATTTTTTCTTTCCGATGACTATAAAGACAACTCAAACTGGCTCAGGCCAGATACTTAAATTTTCTCAAACCCTGATAAATATTGGGATTCATGCAACCTATCTTAAGTTTTCTCAAAGTCAGGCTAGGTTGGGTGAATATTACCCTTTATCAGAGACCAGTCCATTGTCCATTCAGATAAATTCCAGAGGAAAGGATGAAGACAGATAGTTTTAAAAACAACAACAAAAAAAACTTTGCAAAAGTGTCAGCAGAAAAAATACACAATTGCTATTGAAACACGTATTTTTTTTAGAGGTTTGAAAGTGCATAAATGCCAAAATCCAACAAATATTAATCTGCTGTGAAACCTACCCGATTCCATTAGCCTTTTGATAGTTGTACGGAAAAAATTTAAAATTTGGAAAAGAATTTGATGGATCAGAAGGAACTACCAGTACCGCCAAGAGGTGAATATCTTATTAGGAAAGTGGTAAATTTTATCTTTGGTAAACAACCATTCAATAAGCTTGCAAAGGTAGTGCTTGTCAGCTGTTTGCCAGCTGCAGCTCTTCAGTACATTCACCTATTGTAACTGGAGCTTAGTCACATTTAGATCTGAATTCTAGAAGGATGCAAGGGTTCACATAGATCAGCTTGCAATACTGGGATGACATCCTGTATTCTTTATATGATACTCGATAAGCAAGATACGAAACAAGATGGTTTACTCCTGGGGGACTTAGTGCACTTAATCTTTTACCTCAGTTCTTTCATGCTTTTGTCAAAAAACAAAACAAAGCAAAACAAAAAGCCTCATGGTTCTGGGCTGCAGCATAAAAAATATGCCATATGACAACTGATAGCCTAGTCACAAAGTCTTTTTAACACAAGGAATGAATAGCAATGTGTCATATGTATATATGTGAGCAATGTGAAATGCTACCTACCCACTTGCAGTCATTTTATTGTGTTATTTCCACAAATATAAATTGTTTTTTATCAACCACCTGGTTCTTTTCTGCGACACGTTTTCTCTTTGTGTCATCAGAATCTTGTTATATGTGGGTGAAGAAACACTGAATATATTCCATAACCACATTATTTTATCAATAATTTCCTGTTATCATTACACAATGATTTGAATTTTGTGAATATGGCCACAAAGGATCAATTCAACTAAACCAAAACTACAAAGGGAAAATCTCACTGCAAGCCTCTGTGCAACTGGTGAACCCAGTAATTATACATAGCCACCTATTGTGCTAGCATAATAACATGCGAAGAACGTTTAGTTAGACACATTTACACACATAAAAAGCAATATGGGCATAGAAAAAGTAATTTTTTGCCAAAAGTATAGAACAGACACACAGTAACAAATGAGAGCTGCATGAATCCTAGTTTACTTGGCTATAAATAAATCCAACATTTTCTTTCTCTCCATGGTAAAATAAAACAGGAGCACAGAAGCATAACAGTCTCCTTTGAGCAACCAGTCTCTTTCTGTTCAATTATAGTCATCAATCTGTTCCACGTAAAAAATATTTTCCTCCTTGAGAAACCAATGAAATCAGTGTCAGGATCCAAAACATGTTGTTGCAAAACTAATGTAAAAGAGGTCTTTCCTTTTGGTCAATCCATTTGTTCTGAAACACTGTATTTTCTTTAACATGAATTTTGTAATTCGGGTGAAAAAAAATGCTGCATTTATATGGCACTTTTAATCAGAAAATCTTGAACAGCTTGGTGAGGAAAGGTAAGGGTTACCTTCATTTTACAGAGAAAACTGCAACAAAGAGAGCCTAAAGCTTTTTTTCTTTTTCCCCAAAAAATCTGTTTCCTATGTATATTCCTTTCACATACCCAACTGGAAGCCTTTAAATCCTAATATTCAGAAGTGCTAAACAGACAAAGCTTCAGCTGTACGAGTACCCTCCCTCTCAACAGTGACGGTGTCAGATTCTGTAGCACTGGGAAACGCTCGCCTGTGCATAATCCCACAGCAAACTGGAGAGCAGGGAAGGAACAGAGTCAGGTCTCCTGTTTCCTGCTGCATGCTCTTACAAAACTTATCTAGGAGGGTGAAGGTTTTTCCATTACTTGAAATCACTAGGTAAAGTCTAGATGTTGTGTCTAATACACATGCAAGCTATAGTTTCACTAACATCTCTGGGCTTAACGTGAGGATCATTTCATAAAATCATATAGCTTGTGTTACTTATAAGACAACACAGGATAACCATATTACGTCTTCTGGCCTGAAAACCCCTATAAATCTACGACTATGAGAACAAAGAGAATTAACTATAATGAATTATCTTGGGGGTAACACAACAAACTTCTGATTAAGGTTTTTTCATCTTCCTGAGATGTGATACTAGCCACCAAATTGTACTGTCTCTTCCTTTATCCCGTGAGCCACTGAACCATCAAAGCACATAAAGTAAAGCCAATTTGATTTAGCTAAATAGGAAAAAGTCCAAATCCTCTTCTTCATGTGGTAGTTCTGTACAGACATCTACAGAGAGCAGAACACTGTCCACCTGTGCACGGCTGAAGAATTATGGAGAATTATTTTAAAGACGAAAAATCAAGGTGCCAAAATAATACAATCTGTGGTGCAAAAACAGTTTCAGGGTAAGTCCTCTGTGCTCAAAATCTCATCATAAACTCCAAGAACTGCACGAGCAGAGAGACCAGTCCTTTCAGTCATAGGGATGGTTCCAAAATAATACAAAATGTGTACCCAGAAAAGCACTAAAGGGAAATTAAATATCCCATAAATATTCCAGCCTAACTTTAACAACTATATAAACCATCCTAGGTTTTGGGGGGAGGGAGGGAAGGTTTTGAAGTAACTTTCTTGTCCTTTTTTTTTTTTTTTTTTTTCCCCCCTGAGATGACCATCTTTAAAGTGCAAAATAACTACAGCTTTTCCTATTTGTTCATTGCCCCTGTACGGTGAGTTTGTCCTCAGTTCAAAGCATTACTGTAGGGGATCATTTCTACTGCACTAAAAAAGAATAGCTTGATCACAGTCATCAAAATTTCCTCCAAGATGTAAGTATGAAGTATCCTTTAAAAGATTGGTTAGCTGTTGCTGTTCTTACAGCATGCATCAGTGATTCACTTCATATTTTCTTTTAAGGCATTTTTTTGGAAGCCAGATCTTGCAATTAATGTTCAGTTTCAGGACTTTTGTTCAATATATAAAAGGTTAGTTTTAGTATCCTATCTTAAAGCCCACAGTGCATTATTGTAGATTCAGAGGCCTATAATTTTTATCAACAAGCAACTCGTCATTTCAGAAACCTAAATCAGAGAATTCTTTTTTTCACTCAGCATGCAGACAACTAAAGCCCTTTTTTCCCCTGGGGTGATATGCTAGTTTGATTTTATTTTCCCTGACATTTCACCTGTCAGATTATGATAAGCAGAAGAAACAAAGAATAATCATCACATTCTCACTGAATCTCATAATCAAATATCTGGAAATATAAGATAAATTAGAAACATTATCCTGAGGGAAAACATGAACACTGAAAACACCATCAGATATCCAAATCATCTTCCAGTGACCTAGGACTCCCATACAGGTTTAAAAAATTCAGAAAGGAAGCCTGCACAGGACTGTCACATCTACTTTTTTTTTCTTCACATACTAGGGAACGACCTACAATGACATAAGAAGAAAAAAAAGTTGCAGAGTTAAGAAAATCTATTTAATAATAAAGCAGTATGTCTTCTTTAAGTCTTTCATGAATGCTTTCTGAAAGCAATCCTGAGGCCAAGAAACAGGACAGGTTATCATGAAATAGTATAAGCTCAAATTAACTAGTTGGCAAGGTGAAAAGATTAATGAGCCAAAGCACACCAAACACGCTCCTGATTTACTGCATCTGTAGTTTGCATGTTCCAAATTTCTCTCAGTCTCACAGTGTTGAGATTCATATGTGATGAAAACTTACCTGCTTGACCGGTGGTAATACTGACAGCTGCAAAAAGCCTCTGGGAACGACTCAAGTCAGAAACCCCATTCACAGCTTCAACTTCAAATGTGTAGTTAGCATGAGCTAGCAGGTCCATGACAGTGACATAGTTATCTACTAATCCAGTTTGCTGGGGCATATATCCAATGTTACTCCCACAGGGAACACATTCGCCCTGCTCCCAGCTGCACCTCTTGCACAAAATGCGGTAGGTCACATCATTTCTTCCCCCGTTGTCAGCAGGAGGACTCCACTCCAAACTCACGGTAGTCTGGTTGATATTGAAAATGAGGTTCTGCGGTGCAGATGGAGGTCCTATGTAACACACAAAAAAGTCCAGGGTAATTGCACAGAACCAGGGTGGGACGTGTAGCTAGCATTTTAATTACTGAGACAGAAAATAGTTGAAGCATTTTCTTTCACATAAACATTTCATTATTTTTACTACGAGCTGCATAAAAGCTTCCTTGAACTCACTTGGCAAGAGCTTTATTTATTTTCCATTAAGGCATCAGAATAACAATTGTCTGTATATTTACTGCAACTGACTTTAGCCATTTCTCTTCTGCGCAATTAAAAAGATTGGTTAATGTACCTTAAAGGTTGTCTTTTATAGTTTTCCCAAGTATGGGATTTGTTCTTCTCTTCTAAACATACTGCACCAACTGCATCTAGTCCTTTGTTATCGGCTCTGATATGATTTACAGAGATATTTGGTGCCGCTTTGGATTTAGGAGACTTCCACTACTCGAACCACCAATCTGTGTAGGCTAGTCTCTTTGCAGTTAGAAGGTTAAGTCAGATCCAACTACAGTTCAATCAAAGCTCAGATCCGCACAGGTTACTTTTCATTTTTCATGGTCCCCATTTTAGTATTGTATCACATCAAGCACACTGTCCACAACAATTTTACAGCCATGGGAAAACTATGCCTGAATTCTACGTATTACAATGAGTTACACATTTACCCAACATGCAACTTTTTCCAATGTTATATCAAGCAAACATGAGAATTATATTTATGCTGATTCTATATTCACTGTCAATTTTTTTCCCCTCTGCCTTTCAATTTCATTTACTGTTGTAAATGTACTTTTCAAATATAGGAAAAGCCAACCAAAACTGCTAGTTACAAGTGGCTGCACGTGGTTGGTTAAGCAACATCCTTTACTGTTAAATTCATGACTGACTCACTTGTGCATGCGACATATGGTGGGTCAGAAGGCGCTCTATAATAGCTATCTTCACAATCGCATCTTGAAGATCCTTCCTTGTCAGAGAAGCTGTGAGTAGGGCAGCGGGAGCACTGCAGATCTTGTGAGGAGGATTTGTAGAACCCACGGCCACAAGCTAAAGCAGGACAAAACAAATTAAGGTTTAGATTTGCATGGACTATTCTGATCTTTTTTCAGTCTCTGTCACATGAGGTACACATTCCTGTAAACGTCTAAACTATCCATTCTGTTATGTTGGCGCAAGCCAAAAGAAATCACAATTTCTTTTTCTTCAGTTGATGCTGTTAATGATTTTGTGGCATTTTTATGAATTCAAGCATACACTACAAATACCTCAGCAGTTGGCAGCACAATATTTTAACACAGAGGGCCACAGAAATATAAAAAGTATCTGTTTTTCACCAAAGAAGAGTACAATAATGGTGTGAAACAGCTGGATGCCTGCAATAGGCCTAAACAAGGGAAAAACAGTCTGGAAAAGATCTGCTTTAAGGCCAGTGAAGTGTTTCTGGTGTCTGAAATAGTCGATTTGGAATTAATGGAGCAAAGGCTACTCTTCCCTGATCTGAGAAACCCAAAGACGCTGTAACCCACTGGTGAACCCTGATCCCGAGGAAAGAATGAGGCGTGAACACTCGTTGGACCGACGACGCTGGTAGGAACAAGCAGAAAGAGGAGGAGGGTTGCAGCATAAGCTGCACAATTGGTTTTTCCAGTTTCACAGAGAGAGACAACTAGGCTGAAATGAATTTACTAAAACTTTCAAGGGAAATTTAAAAGGTAGATAGTTGGAAATATACATATAAGATCATTTCATACTTTGGTTTGCCTGCTGCGAACCCATGGAAGTAAAAAATGTCCTGTGTTCCAAAACTGATGTTTAGAAATACTTTTATTGGCTATTGCCACAGTTCCCAAAGCAGAAACACCCATAAAACACACCTATAATGATCCTTACAAGCAGAGAACTGCAACCTAGACAGCCAGCTTAAGAACGGATAAACTATGAGAGCTGTAGGGGATGAGGAAGAAGGAAGTGGGGATCAGACAATGCTAAAACTGGAAACAGATTAAGAGTCCATTTCAACACTGAGGTCATGGGCAAACTTAAAAACACTGTCAACATGAAAAACAGAACACAGAAGTCCTCCAGAACTTTCTAATAAAGCAGAGGCTTTTTCAACCACACTATTTTATTCTTTTTTTTCCAACCCTAACAGACCGTCTAACCTTCTTAAGCCGTCACCTGTATGCAAAGAAAAGGGACAGCGGGTGAAACTTAGTATTCAGTATCAAAATACTAAAGCTAGTTAAATAGTCATTCTGAATTCAGAGAGAGAGAATTTACTTTGGTTATATTCATATTTGCTTGGATATTTTCTTAGAACAGAAATGCAAAGTATTCAAAGACACTGATATTTGGAACAGTTATTTCAGTTGTCGGTTATTGCAGTAATGGAAAGAGCATGAAAACAATGAGCTTTATCCAAATCTCACTGAAGTCAATGAGGAGCGTCTTTGACTTTAACAGCCTTTGGACTGGACTCACAGTGTAGCTACAGCAACATGACTCCTATTAATTTTATGCAACTGAGAGAAAAAAATGGCGGTAATACTTAAGATAGCAGTAGATTAAAGTTAATGAATTAGGTAAATCAACAGTGGATCATACCAGTATAAAATGATAGCATATTCTGGCCCTCTGTTATTCTTTATCAATATACTAACTTTCTAAAGAAAAACATGCCTAAAGGACAGAAATCGCCATAACATTTAGAGTTTGTCATGCTGGAAAAAACAGTGGATGGAAGCTAAATTACCTGGCAGATAAAATTAGCATGCAAAGCATGTATCCTTTGACTTTGACAAAGGGGCACGAGTTTGCATTAGAGTTTGCATTAGAAGAAAATCTAGCCCTGCTTGTAAAACATGTCATAGTTTAGTTCTACCACAGTAGCTGTTATATATGCTATTTAGAAAAGAAGACAGGAAGAACTTTGGAGAAACACTTTTGATAAACATGACCCATGAATTCATAGTTGTGGCAAATTTAACTCAGAATTACCCTTTTACACCTTCATTTAAAATTGTTTCAGAATTTCCTGACCAAAGACAAAGAGCACAAAAGTTGAACTGATTTGTATGCGTGTACCTTAAGACATATATTTAAACTTCTGTCTGCTCTTTCAGCACTTGCAATTGAAATGTAGCTAAAATTACCAAATAATAGTTTCCTGCCTTTCTTAAATAGTCATGTTCCTCTTACACTGAGCAAAACACTGGACAAATACACTGGATCTTCCAGCACGCAGTCCTCTGCAAAGCAAAGAGCAACTTAAAAGGCAAAGATCCCTACTGTGTTTCCAGTCTGTCCTTCTCAGCAGGGAACATTACAAAGCAAAGACGCGGAGGGTAAAATAGAGATTTCAGACAGAAATAACAAAACGTAAACTGAAAACCCCTTTTCATTTTTTTTCTGATGACTTGATCAAGACATTTATATGCTTAGTCACTTACTATTTAAAGTAAGTGTGCATTTCTTATTAGAGTTCAAAGGATCTGCATGTCTGTGACTAGTTTACATGACTGAAAGCCATTTATTCTTCTGCACAGCATACCACAGGCAGAAGGTTCAGGCACTCATACCATGCTACAATTCCATTAGCTTTTTTTCCAATAAGAGGCTTGTGACAACATTTAATAACCATCCCTTCAACTTATATACCCCATAAATATAAGGCGCAGAGTATTCCAGCATTGAAATTTTGAACAGTATGAAAAGAGTGCTTTTAAAAAAGGATTTTTAAAAACTTTATAGTTCTTTAGAAAGGAGGGTACACAGGGGTACATACCATAATTAAAAGTCCTCATTGGAGGAATACAACTAAATTATTTTCCCATTTTTCTTCATAAATTTAAATTTGTCACAAAAATTTGTTTTTTCAGCCTAGCAGTGGAATACTTCTATTGCTCAAGAATTGGGGAGCTATGAATCTTTATCTGTTTTAACATGTATCATTGTCCTTGCCAATAAACTTACAACTGAAACCTCTACCAAGACAGGGTGTTGCATCGACCACTTACGAGGGTGTGATAACTTGCCAGTGAACTATTACAGATCACAGATGGGAAAGAACCGTTCAAAAACACTTTTTGACTCATTTTTTTCCCCCCCTTTTGTCCTTTCTTGCCAAATTGCCATGGTGAATTTTTTTATATTACAAGTAATTTAAATACATTGTTTTGTTCTACTCTATTTTAAATCCACCTGTTTTGATCCAATTTAGTTCTTTATGTAATATTTTTAAGATCACAGGGCAGGTGGTATAAAATCCCCACTGCCACTACCTCCATAAGCAACATTAAAAAAAATGCTAATTGTAAAAAAAACCCAACACATTAGCCAAACATTATTCAGAGCTCTGTACATGCAAGTCTAAAGGTGATAAATACAGGTATTGTTCCCCAAAAGTATCTCATGGCAAAGCTTGAGGCAACTCAAATTGCATTTGATCGCATCATTTTAATATTTCAATTCATTAGTGCAGGAGAGCACTCATCTGCAGCACTTCTTCCCTATAAAGGGAGCCTGTACTGTAAATCAAGGTACAGAACTCAAGCAATGATGGGAGATATGCAGGCAGCACTCCGGCGAGGTAGCACTCTGATGTTGTAGCCACAATCCTCATTATTGTTGATCTGCGTAAAATGTGAACTCATTTGATCTTCCTCAAGCACGTTAAGATCCAGGAGTGCTTTTGCTACTGAAAGGCTTCTGGGATACTGGAAAAGAAGGGGAGTGGAGGGGAAAGGGAAGAAAGCCAGCACAAAATAAATTTACTTCCATTCACTGTGGTGTGTCATTTACAGATGCTAATTTAATAGAACAGCTCTTCCCAGATGAAGCTCCCATTTTGTTCAAACAGCTGCTCCAAAGCCTTACACGTTCCAGAATAGGGTTTCAAACCAAGAGCAGTCAACTTCACTGACAGCACAAAGACACAGAATAACACCTACCAGCCTAACCTAAACCAGTCTGCAAATAACGCAAAAATTAGTTACTAATTCTTTCCTCACATATTACAAAATCAACAACAAATGTAGAAGAAAGCTATGCTTCAGCCAAGGCACAATCCTTTGCTTAATATCTTAGCCTCTGTTAGGGACTGACCACCAGCGACCCCCCCCAGGGCTACCCAGCACCTTGGATTTGTTTACTTGTCTGCAATAGCCACGGCTGCTCCTCGGAGAAAATCGTCCCACCTCCTCTGCAAAGCAAAGAGCTTTCTCTTGTTGGGAAGCTGGCAGAGTTCCACCGTGAAATACAGAGACGATGTGAACGGCCCTCGGATGAGAGAGCCTCCTTACGCCGCGGAGCCGCGGTTTGAAACTGAGCAGGGCATTGTCGTATCATATTTAAACTTCCTTTTCCTGGAAGCCCTAGATAAAGAGGTACACTATTCTGTCTGTATACAACGAAAGACCCCACTGAAGATGACACTAGCAGTCTTTCTTGGTTTGGACTAAGTTGCTTTCTTCTTGTACGTCCAGTAGCACTCAGCTGTAACAAGGACGTATCGTGACAGTAGGGTCTGGTACACGGCTGGGCAAAGTTGCAGCATCAGTGCACGGTACTCACTCGAATACACGTTTAGCATAAGCCACTGCAGTCAGTGCAACTGCAAACATTTTGAGCCAATGTGTTTGGTATCATTTAAGGGTCTATACAAATACTGTAAGTAATGGCATATTGCAAAGCCACAAGTAAATACTGAGGAATTAACACACACTACTAAGAACTATGATGCCACATCTGTGGCACAACAAGGCATTAGCTGTTGTAACTAGAGGTGCTGACTGCAGTTTATGTAGAAAAATACCAGCTTCTCTGCTGTGAGCTCATCACATGCCTTAGTGGCCTGGTAGAGATCAAATAATGTATATTTTTCTTTTCATATTTATAAAAAATAGAGGGGGGAATGAAGGCAGATGTAGACAGCAGCAAACAGCAGTCTGGAGTCCCACTTGTGGGACAGGAAAAAGGAAAAAAGGGACATGTTAAGTACTGTTCATTTTTATGTAACCTTTTCACTATAAACACTATGGAGATTCATT